GTTGCTATGGAAACAGCGTAAAAATGCTGCAGTGACTGAAGATTTTCAAAATGGAAGTGGATTGCAGATTGCGTCTAAAACCCCGGAGAGCTACATCTGTCCGTCACTTGATTAAGTTTTGCTTTTACTTTACGAAACGACGCCCTGAAAATTTTAAAATCTCTGCCTCGTCCCCTGCACACCGTAAGAGTGGCGTAAGTTCCGTATTTCCTCGATTTTAAGACACATTCTTCTTTTCAAATTTTAAAGTTTCTTGAATCGGGGTTCGTCTTACATTTGGTGACGTCTAAGAATCGATGTCGACAAATTATATTGTACGACTAATGCGTCCATAAAACTAGTCATGGGACAGTAAACAAAACGATAGTAACAAGAAAGATTTCAAAAGTATTAAAACAAAGAAGTTTTACGTTTGAATATTAGCTATTCCTACTGTATTGTACCTGTGTTTTCCCTAAAAACCTATTAATTAATGAAGCGTGTGTCTTACAATCGATGGCGTCTTAAAATCGAGAAAATACGATATATGGATCGATTGTTCGGGCTCTGATCAGTAATTCATAAGTTATTCAACGTTGTGTAAAGTGTATGGCTTATTTATAGCAGAAATAATCGTGGCCTATTACAGGCGCATTTGCTTGATGTGTGGAAGAAATGAGAGAATCTACTGACAGATTAGGCTGAGATTCGAAGCGGGAATAAGTTAGATCTGATAATAGTTCGTAAATTATGCAGAATAGGGTGCATGTGGCCCCAGGTCTGAAAAAAGTTTAGAACCCCTGCCGTAAAATAGAACTTCACGGCTGTGACGTCACTAGAAACGACGTCGACATTTGCATTACGTGATCTTTACGTATTTTCCAATTAAAAATTCTTCACTGGTTCGTATAATGGAATTTTCCCTTCAGTACAACAGTATGGAAACTGTGCAACACTGAATGTCCCACATGTTTGTACACTCTCAAAGACGATGTTGGCAGGGGAGGGGAAAACGGAGAACTCGCTTTGCCGTTAACAGATTCAAATATCATCTGTGAGTTCTTTAAAGTACGTTAAGGGGTAGGGTGTGGAAGGCTGATTTCCCCACCCCTTAAGACATGGTTTCCTCATCATAAGACAGCCTCTTTGCCTCTGGCGAAAGACACGGGCGAGGAAGCAAGCCTTAATGGAATTGACTTTGCATTTTTCCTACTTTTCTTCCAGCTTTCTTCGTCGCTTGGTTTCCTTCTGACTTCGGCTCTCAAGTAATTCACGTCGCAAAAGAAAGAACACACAAAGGCTAGAAGAAAAGTGGATGGGGAAGAATAAAAGAAGAAATCCTTCCGAGTAAGAGATATGGAGTAGGACAGAGGACCTCACTGGGGGTAAGGACCTTCTCAGCGAAAAAGATTTACTGGAGGAAAACAGAACTTGGAGCAGTTGCGGTTCTAACTTCGTAATCCTCTGTAGGAGAACCATTGTTAGTGAGGACCTGTTCATTAGTTAAATACGCATTTTAATCATTATAATTATTGCATAAACATGGTGAGATGGGTAAAGCAAGTTACAGACATGGGGGGCGCTGACAAACGCATTCAAAATTATGGTCAGAAAACATTTAATGGAAAAGACTACTTGGTAGACCTCACAATACGATAATATTAAAACGGATGCCAAATAAATACTGTGGGATACTTTCCCTGAAGGGGTATAAGACAGAAAGAGCGTATAATATCCCTGATGATGGAGGCAGTAAGCACCTCTGAAACGTCAGACAATACTCACCAGACTACAGAGTGTAACATCCGGTAGACAGTCATCTCATGCTAGTCACCGTGAGAACTTCGACTATCGATGGTAAGTACCGTGCTTACCTTGTTTCAACGTACGGGGGCCCGCATCGCGGATCGATTTATTTACGCCAACAAAACCTTCAAGTCTGACGTTAGGCACAAGTTCTGCACGAGATCAAAGAGTCGGATCCGGACCCAGTGGGTGAACAATTAACTACTATCCAGCGAAGGCAGAGTATCTATCGAGCTGTATCAGTGGTTTAGCTGTTTAACTTCCATAAGTCAACTCAAGGCACTAAACTGATAGTCATAATTCGTGTTTTATTCAGATTCCATCGACTTCCCATTAAACAAACTTACAGAAGCATTAGTTTTTGGGGAAATTAAATTTTAAATTGTGAGACATGAAATAGAAATCACATTGGTTGTCATTACTATAAATAGGCTTTAGGCGTGTCATAAACGTTTTAGAGATAGGTTAACTAACACAAAGCAAAATCGAAGACACATCATCGCGGCGGTGGCATCTATGGACCGAGTACTCAAACAGTAAATTGCCTTACAGTTAATTTGCTTTCAATTCTGGTGTCATTTTTGTAATACACAATTGTTGAGTTTACAAAACTGGCCTCACAAAAGTTTTCAATCCAGTAACATTGTCGTGTGTTTTTATCTAGCAAGAAAAAATCAATGAAATGCAAGAAGAGATGTCACAGATAATTTATGAGAAATGTAACTTGTCCGTAAATAAAAATATAACATAACTTGTCTCAACGACTGACCTGGAGGGCGGTGGGCCAGAGGCAGGTGACGTTCAGCGGAGGTTCCTGCTCCCCGGTCGACGAGGAACGCTGCGGACACACCGCCGTGGAGGGCGAAGTCTTCCCGTACTGCGCTACGTGTACAGAGATGCTGGTGCCGTGCGGACACTTGAGGGTCACCACTTCATCGTCACAGCCCACCCGCTGGTACGTTCTCAGCGTGCCTGACAACAGAGCTGCAGGGGTGAAACAGACAGACAGACAAACAGAGAGTTAGAGCCCATCACCAGAGTTAGTTCAGTAATCCACAGCCTTGCATGACATCACATCGGACGAAATGGGGGGTACAGACGTCACTGGGCTTATACTAGTGTACGTTTAGTAACACTTTCTTGTTATCCATAAAAGTGAAACGTGTCTGAATAAATGTAGCATAACACCCCGTCGGCTAAAATAACTACTTGCTTAACAAAGAATATGAAAATTATAGAGTAATTTGATTAAAATGGTTTTAGAGAATTATTTTAAACAGTAGTCCTGCACTGTCATTTAAAACAAAGAAAAAGGAAGAAACATTAAAAGAATAAAAATGTAGAAAGGAAACAAAGAAGCAAGGTGGAATTAAGGGAGAGGAAACCATTTAGCAGCAAAACAGAGCAGAGCGCAGTAGTAATCGGTACTGTTAACTGAAAGTAACACTGGTCTTTCTGGAGGAATGCCACATTATCCAGTTCACTGAAATCTGTGTCATGAGAGGCTGCAGATTGGCGGCACTGAAACCACACCACACCGTAAGCATCATGCAGTTCGTGCTGCTGAAACCCAGGGAAAATGGACAGATACCAATTAATTATTTCCCACATTATTTAGTTTTGAGACACTTTGAGTCTCAAATCACCATGAAGAAACAGGACTTGAAACACACTATACATTGTGAATAATATGGTTTTGATGGCTGATTTGTAATGGATAGGACCATGGCGTACGTAGGAATTTGTGGATCAGACATGATTAGACAAGTTTCGACAGGAATTGAAAAGTTTCTAAAGGTTTAAACAAGTTACAGATTGTTGGAATAATCTAGTCTTGATAGGATCACTACGGCATGGACAAAATAGGAGAGGGCAATGAGACCAGTCATGACGCTGATGATGGAGGCAGCAAGGACCTCTAAAACGTTGGCAGACTTCTACGGTGCTACAATCCAGAGGACAGCCATCTATGTTGATCGATGTTCGTCTTCTGGGTTATGATATCATGTTGTTTTGTCGTGTTTTAGGAAGCCCGCTATCGGCCGATATCCTGAGCTGGTTAAATCCAATCCACACCCACAAACTCTTACCCTAGCTCCATTCTAATACAATCATTGCATCTTCGCGTGGGTATCCCGAGAGGCAATTTTAAAAGAACTGAAATTTTCGAATTAAAATTTCGCAAGAAAAGAACCGAA